AGTAAAACCCGAATTTTAATAGTATGTCAACGTTTTATTAAGATGCAGATTAATTGTGTAACACATATGTTATTAGCTGCGTTAACAAATTTAAGTAACGTAAAATACTAAAAATTTAAGTTTAACTAATGACTTAATAAACTGATGCTTTGAATAAGTATGGAATACTCTAATTAGAATTAAGTTTTTGTAAAATTATTTGAATGGAGTTGTTGATTAGAGGCTTGCTAATGAGAGAGAAGGATGCGGACTATTTAAATATTGATTGATTCGCCCGACCCGGATTGGGCTGTGTGCAGCATGATTTGATAGAGAGTTCCCCAAACAGTTTTTTATGAGTATTGATAATATTGTGATATTTGAGCAGGAAGATAGCCCAATTTTTAGGGGAGGTGCTGCTCGATTAATTTTGACAGAATTTAGAACCAAAATTTCAATTAAATAATATAGACAAATAAGTCTTAATCCACATAAAATTTTACTACAATTGATTACATAATAAAATAAAGTGGCTTTAACTACTTGTTCATTATCAATTATTTATTATTATTAATTATTATTTATTTTTATCGATGCTTTATTGTTAATATTATTTATTTAATTATTTAAATTGCATTTTGAGAATGGATGTTTAATTTGTACAGTTGCAGTTCCAAATAGTAATTGAATCGATATGTCTGCATTTAATCGCAATTCGTATGATATAATATGTGAGTATTATGAGTGATAAATATTGTCTGTGCTTGGCTAAAGTGGAATTGGGATGAAGTGGGTCACCATGGGAGTTTGAGATGAGACCGTACCACCGTATATGGATCCTGATTACCGTTAACCTTGTTATATACTGTTTACTGTCAGTTATACCTGGGGAATCCTCATTTACCGTTAATCGCCGGGTAATGGGAGAATCGGATCGCGCCCCCCAGAGATGGCAGCCTACCCGTGACTCGTTTACGCGGTGAATGTTAACCACGGTTTGTGCCCTCGTCGTTCGCGCACGAATCATGAATGCCCGAACTATAATGGAGTTGATTGCAGCCCGCAGCGGGTGGCCTCACTGTTGTTGAAGCGCATATTGATGATCCTAGATCTGAGAGATATGGATCCACCCTATTGCCTACAGAGGTGAAAATTATAAAACAGAAAGAGAAGAATCAATATAATACAATGAGGAAGGCGTCTGGGTCATAACGTGAGGACTCATGACCGGTTCCGGGGAACCAGTTAATGTTGGGGTATTCGGCTTCTCTCTGGTGAGAGGACACGTGAAGGGACGGGGCCCATGTTCGGTGTATGGACGCTCAATCGGGGGTTTCCCGGTCTTTGAACTCCACTGAACTAATTTCCACGTGATGTGATTATATGAAAGGATGTTTAATAATTGTGAGTGCTGTGAATATGCCCATTGGAGAGAGTGATGACTGGCTGTGTGAAGCTATATCTACAGCTAGTAACGGGTGACTAGATAGAGAGATAATAACATACAGGTATTAGATGATGAGATGCGTCGTCGTGTATTGTGCAATAATTATTATTCATTAATAAACTCACATCTCTTGTTTAAATCTTCCAGGAAGTAGCATTTTCTAAATCCCAGCTATAACTCTACTCCTTCACTGTTAAAAAGAGATTCTTTAATTTTAATGTTGATATATTAAGTAGATAAATGTCTAAAGACTTATCTGTATACATCTGTTAGTGAATTCCGCAGTTGTAGAATTTGTGTGCAATTAGTCGTGTATTAACATAGACGATGTAATTATGTGAGCCTATATTAAAAATATAATGTATTGTTAATTGGGCCCGAACTGTGGAAATGTTGTAATTGATAAATTTGGGCCGAAATTTAATAGAATCTTAAGGTTTATTTTTCTATAATTATAGGCTTAAGCGTTTTATTTTTTCTATAAATTATCGATGGCGGGCATGCTGGAGAGCTTTTTAATATTATATATTGAGAATAATAAGTTTATTGAGTGATTCAGCATATTGAGATAATAGTTATTAGTGATTCAGGCTTACTACGGGCCTCGGGGGCCTTAAGCTTACCTGGGCCCTAGTGCCGGTCCGGCCCATGGAAACGGGTCGTGACATAAAGTCATTTTTTGAGTGCAATTATTACAACTATCAAAGTTTAGGGTATCTTATATAATTTAATCAATTCATTCTTCAGGTTAAATTAACTCAAATATGAATTGTGAGACCCTCATTTAATATTTTTTTTATTAGCTAATTTTGACCAATTTCAAGTTATGATAAAAAGTTACAACTTGAATGCTTGAAAAGTTAAATTGAATTTGGGGTGCAATTGTTATAAGATGCAAGGTTTGAAATATTTTTAATAGTTTAATCTAAATTAAAACAATGCCAAATCTGATCAAGACATCATCATTTATTAACATGATCCACTGCCTAAATTATACCATCAAATCTCCATAAAACCGCTGATTATATTTTTTAATATAAGCACTAATTAAATTATTTAAGATTATTTTAATATTAGCACTACTTAATTTAGTATTATGCAAAGAAAAAACAGTAACTAATTAAGATTATCCATGGGAAGGAAGGCAATGTATCTATTTGTGCTCGTGATTTCTACCCGGGCAGCGCTGTTCGCGCTCCAAGATTATCTCTTGCTCCTGCTATACAGTCGATGTGTTCTATCTATTGCATTGACTGAATTACCCCTTCTATTTTCTAGAGGTGTGTGTATCAATCGTTCGAATCAAAATTAAACAGAGCCAAAAAAAATCAAAAATAAATTATATTTTTTAATTCAAAATAAAATCGAATTAATTTAATTCCATTGGTAAAAATGTATATAACAGCAAAAAATGCACTTTTTCGACAAAAATACTAAGTACTTTAACAATTCTAAAAATCAAGGACAATTTTAGTTATTTAATTATAATAATTAATAAGAAATTAAATAGTAATTAAAGTGAAATCTCAAAACTAAAAAGTAATTTACTCATATAGTATTAGTGCAAGATTAATTCAATCCGCAAAACTCCACTAATTACGGTGACTATCATTGAATACTAATAATTATTCACATTTTTAATTATTATTTTTTTACTTTTTTCATCTAAAATATATTTACTTGTTTTAATTTTATAAGTTAGTATGTAATAGAATAATTTTATTAATTAAAGTGTTTATTAAATATAATTTTATAAGTTAAAATATTTAATTATTCAAAATAAAAACTCATCGTATCACAAGATTTTTAATAAAAAAACACAAAAGTAAATTTATAATTTTAGTTAAATTTTAGGCTCCAACAACGGTAAAAAATAATAATTTGAATATACGAGTTGTAGCTCAGTTGGCAATGCAGATTGAATATGTGAGAAAAGTTATTGAATTCGATTCCCACTAAACACACTTGCAGGGAATGGCGAAGAGTTTTAACTGTAACTAAGTCCCGAGTCAGATTATGTGGTATCTAGTAATAGGGTCCGGATGCCGGTGGTTTAAGGAAAAAAATAATAATAATTTGAAACTTTTTCAACATAAATATAATACTATAATTTATCCTTTGATCGGTTCTTAATACTTACGCTTTCTTGTCTGTAAAAATAAATTCATTTTAATTTTCATATAGATTAAGATTAAAGTTATATGATTAAACTTAATTTTTTATAGTATATTCTTATCGCTTGTTGTTAATATTTACGTTAATTCCTTTAAAAAAATTTTATAATATATTTACTAAAAAAGTTTCATCAACGGAAATTCCGAATGCCAAAAATTTGATTAATAGTTAAGTTAATTCCTTTAAAAATATTTTCACATATTATTAGTAAAAATATAAATAAAATAAAATATTGTAAATAATTAAAATTTGGTATATGTGGAAATAGGCATGGCAGGTTCATCGAACCGCTGGTTCCGTTTCATTGAACCGACAGATCAAAATTTTTAAAATGTTAAACCTAAACCAGTTCTTGTATCGCCGGTTTCAGCCTGTTTCGTTGCGGATCCAATCACGGATTCCGGCAATATATGATTTTTTTTTTAAATCGGTTCCAACATTACATCTTTCTTTCGAAAATATTAACATGAGTTTAAAAAATATTGGTAAATTTTATTTTTAATAAATTTTAGAATGCTCATACTCGTATAAGAATAAAATTAATTAATTTTACAAATTAATCAAACAAATTTCACTTTATTTTATTTAAATGTTATTAATTAAATAAAGTATAAGAAAATTTTGAAAAATGTTTTAAAATAATGTAATTTTAAACTTAGTAAACAATTTAAAACTGTAAAATAAAAAGTTAAAAATAATATAAGTTTAGACTAAATATTTCTCTTTTTTTTTACTATTTTACTTTTTAAATTTTTAACTTTTAAAGTAAAATGTATTTATTTAAAAAATGTAATTTTAAACTTAGTAAACAATTTAAAAACTGGTAAAATAAAAAGTTAAAAAATAATAATAAGTTAGACTAAATATTAATATAAGTTTAGACTAAATATTTCTCTTTTTTTTTACTATTTTACTTTTTAAATTTTTAACTTTTAAAGTAAAATGTATTTAAAAAAAAATCTTAAGTAAAATATATCACGTAGTAAAATATTATTGAGACTTTTAGATATATATAAAATAGGCCAAGTGATTATTATTTTGAAAGTAAAAATAGAAAATTTCCTATTTGAACCAGACCGAAACTGCCCGTTAGCTGCGGATCCAGATTCAATTTTTAATATTCACATGAATTTTAACCGGCCCTTAAACCACCAGTTATGGTTCAAAATTTTGAACAGATAATTTCAGTCCGATTTTAATTCATCTATAATACGATTTAGTTCCGTTCAAAATTAACTCGTTACCGTGTCTACCCAGTAAACCCATTATCTACATTTTTATTACACATAATTTAAAGCACAAACAACACTGATTGATTGATAATGTCAAAAAAAAAAACACTGATCGATTGATATATAGTATATGCCAGAACATGCATGGGTCCCACACACCAGACATAGGCCGTGTGCATTCAAATCTCACCGCTCTTTCAGTTTACACGCACTCCTTAACTTCACTAGCTGCTTTGCATTGCCTTTAGCTGTGGAGCTGAAGTACAGAGAGCTAGAGGAAAATGCTGGTAGAGGATGAGGAATGGGTGGTGGTGCGGCGTCCGGCGGAGAAAGATTGGTGGAAACCGAGTTTGGTGGAGGATGGTGAGAGTTCTACTAGGCCATTGAAGATAACTTTCACCGAACCGGCTAAGCACTGGACAGATGCTATTCCGATCGGCAATGGCCGTCTTGGGGCCATGGTTTTTGGCGGTGTTAAATCTGAAACTATCCGGCTTAATGGTGAATGATCAAAACTCTACAAAATGTGAAAAGTGATTTTTCTACTGTAAATTTTTGTACTATAAAAAGGTTAGGTTTAGGCCCCAAAACAAGCATTTGGCTGGTTTTGGCCGTGATATTTTGTCGATTAGGTGCACATAGGAGAAAGTAGAAGAAGAAAATTGTTTGACTTTGAAAGTTGCATAAGATTTCTTGTTATCTTGTCAGTGTTTGGATAATTTCTTATTTTGGTGTTATGCTTTTTATGTTGGTAGAATTAATATTCAATCTCTTAGATTTCATAAAACTTGGAAAAATAGGTGGATGTGTGATCAATTGATAGAGATTTGCATGATCAATTTTGGAATTCAAATAAAGAAAGAAGAGTTCTATTATTTTTTCTTTTTTAAAGTACTATTTTTTTTTTCAAAGGAAATGCAATAAATGTCTAGCAGTGTTATAGATATCATAGGAAAATTTAGTTGCTTTACTGCATTGTTTGATATAGCCTTGTTTCTTTCTGCTTTTCTCTCTGTGAAAAAGGACACATCAAATGAGTTCTACACAGAAGAAAGTCACTGAATAATATTTGGATTCTTGTAGAAGATACGCTCTGGACAGGGATCCCTGGAAACTATACTAATCCCGATGGTCCAGCAGCACTAGCAGAGGTCAGAAAACTTGTTGATCAGGGAAAGTATCTAGAAGCTAGTGACACAGCATCAGAGAAGTTGTCAGATTCACCACCTGATGTATGTGTCTTTTCTTTATCCTTGACATAGCCTTTGTTTTTATTGCTATTATTTTATTTGAATGGATGATGGCAATTATCTATTGTTATTTCAATTATCTGATGTATGTATGAAATTAACATTGAGGTTTGAGGTTTGTGACGATTCAAATATCCTTCTGAGGTTTATATGCTGGTAGGAGTTCCTCTGTTCACAAGCTGCTGACAAATGACAATGGCACTTTTGAACCCTATATTGTTTGTCTTCGAGACTCAGACTTGCATATAATGCACGAGAAGTTTGTTAAGTACATTTCTTGGTATGGTAGCACGTTCAGATTGCTGGTTTTTTGCTAATGGCATTAGTGCTTTTGTCAGTTCTTGGCTACATTTGCTCTGACGAGGTAACCTAAGTCCTACCAAATCAGTATGACTGGTCCTTTAAGGGTTTATTAGGACTACTTGGGGCATTCATAGTATTTAGATAAATTGTTGGATAGTTATAGTATGTACAATTAATTCTAACTATAAAAGCAAAAATAGTTTGAAAACATGATTGTATTCTTTTTTAGCTAAAGCACCAAAATTGCCTGAGAGCTTCACGGTTGACATATAGAGTTTCTATTTTGATCAATGCTGATCTTTTTTTAATCGTTGGCGCCTTTATTCAGTCCAAAAATATTTCAATTGTTTGAGAATTACATTGCTAATTGTTATTTTCTGTTGTTGAAGGTTTACCAACTGATTGGTGATATCAATCTTGAATTTGATGATTCTCATCTAAAATATGATGAGAAAATGTACCATAGGGAGCTGGACTTGGACACTGCCACAGTGAGAACAAAATATTCTGTGGGTGATGTAGAATTTACAAGGGAACATTTTGCTTCTAATCCTGATCAAGTGATTGTAACAAAGATTTCTGGAAGCAAATCAGGGTCTGTATCATTTGTAGTGTCTCTAAGCAGTGAGATGCAGAATGCTCATTCATATGTAAAAGGTGAAAATCAGATCATAATTGAAGGAAATTGTAAACGAAAAAGAGACCCTCAAAAGCTGAATGCTATTGATGATCCCAAGGGAATTCTGTTTACTGCAATTCTCAAGTTACAGATTAGTGAGGGACGAGGAATGATAAATGTTTTGGAGGACCAGAAGTTGAAGGTAGAAGGTTCAGATTGGGCAGTTTTACTTTTGGTGGCTTCATCTTCATTTGATGGGCCATTCACTGATCCCATGGAGTCCAAGAAAGATCCTACTTCAGAGTCCATGAGGGCATTGGATTTGATAAGAAATTTGTCATGTGTTGATCTCTATGCACATCATTTGGATGATTATCAAAATCTTTTTCACCGTGTTTCTCTCCGGCTTTCAAAGAGCTCGAAGCGCATTTCAGAAAGTGGACCTGTGGATGGGAAGAAATTTATGTCTTTTAGTAATGATTCATTCTTCAAGGAAAGTGAAGGTAATACTATTTCAACTGCAAAAAGGGTGAAATCGTTTAAAACTGATGAAGATCCATCATTGGTGGAGCTTCTATTCCAGTATGGTCGATATTTACTTATTTCTTGTTCGCGGCCTGGAACTCAAGTGGCAAATCTACAGGGTATATGGAGTAAAAATACTGCACCACCATGGGAGTATGCTCTCTCTCTCTCTCTCTCTCTCTCTCTCTCTCTCTCTCTCTTTCCACTGTGTGTATATATTGTGTTTTCCTTTCTGTGTAGCTTATTAGTTTGGTATGCTTAGAACTTTCCTTTCTGATTCATACAGATGTGGACATGTGTGTGGAAAAGACTTTGTATTATTGTATATATGAGTTTAGATTGAGTTTTTCATGTAAAAGATCAAGGCATTTCAACTACCAAGAATAGAGAGCAGGATCACCTGATTTCTAGATGGCTGGTCACCATTTCTTTCTTCCTCTTTTTGTTAAAGGATTGAGGTTACAAGTGGCGTGTTAGTGCAAGTACTAGACATAGTTCCTTTAGAGACCATTTGAGAACTGGGTAGGGAGTTGGAACAGTAATATTGTATTAGTGCAGGTACTAATTGCCACTTCTTTTTTTCCCTTACTGTCGCTGTACTTGTCAGGATAGATGAAGTTCTGGCTGCAGTATGAATCCTAGGTTATTTAATGATGATTTTCCTTTGACTTAATAAGGTCACCAATGCTACAATGTAGGTTATAACTTTTAACTTTCTTTGGTGGGGAATTGCAGTTTGAGTGCTGATCTTGATCTTGATATAACTTCTTGATCACTCATTAAAACAGTAGCAAGTGGAGGAATGAGGGTATATGTAGCAACCGTATATTAAGTTTCTAGAGAAACAGTCTTTTAATTTATCATTTCTTCCTTTCTATCCTCACATCTTTGGTTAAGCAACTTTGGTAATATGCGTTTTTATCAGTGGTGGACCCAGCCCAAAATGGTTAAGGGGGCCAAAAAAATAATTTTGCTTAATTGTTGGGGGGAACTAAAATAGATTTTTTTTTTTTTTTTTTCAAAAAATGTTTGCTCTGAAAGATTGAATTTGTTTTAATTTTTTGGGGTTTGGGGGCGGGGCTGCTGGGCTTAACAATGCTCTATATCCGCCCCTGCTTTGCATGCTTTCTATTTGATATTTTTGAAACAGAGAGTACCAGGAATGGGAATTTCACTTGTTCCGTTTGTTACAGGATTTTCATTTGATCAGTAATCAGCATAAGTTATTTCAAAGCACTGTTATAAAACCTTTCACTCTTTCTGTCTATAGTTCACTTGTCTGTTCTTCTATTGTAATTTCAGTGCTGCTCAACATCCGAATATTAATCTACAAATGAACTACTGGCCTGCTCTACCCTGCAATCTTAGTGAGTTGCAAGAACCATTGTTTGACTTTATATATTCTCTATCAATCAACGGGCATAAGACAGCAAAAGTAAGCTTTTCTCCTTTTATTTTGTGTGATTTGAAGCATTTTAAAACTTCTCTTTTAACAAATTCATTTTTGTTAATTTGTTGATGTATAATTTTCATAGATTTCATTAAATGAGACAATATAAAGGTTGAAGTAATTTTAAATGTGTTGATTATTAACCAGTATTTAAGATCTAGTATGGGCCATTGTATACTTGCTGAGTTACTAGAGGATGTACAAGCCTTCTTAGAAGCAGGCAAGCATTTTTTGGTGATCCTATAGAACCTGCAACTTTGTATTTGCAGTACTTTGTTCCTTTATTGTTGCCTTCTTCTGTAAGACAGTTGTGCATCTACTTTGTGGAATAAGACGATTAGGTTTTTATACCTAGTACAATCTGTTAAGTTAATTAGATGACCGGAAGCCAGAATCTTCCATTCTGCTAGACAAGATTCACTTATGCTAACTTGCTAAGGCATTGATACTGTTTTATAATTTTATTTCCAATTAATATTCTGAAATGAAATCAAAATTTCCCTTTTCTTCTGTCTTTTCATTCTCTATCTTATCTTCAGTTGGAAAGCATTTCTATTCTCAACCAACCCAGATGTATTTTTCTGTGGCTTACTGTTTTATTGCTTTGATTGAAATTTTAAAAAAGATAGATCAGGAAACCAAATATGTCCTTATGTTTCCTTGCCCTTTAAATTCTTTAATTGGAATTAGGTGACTGGAAGAAAGAACTATTTGGAGAAGTCCTACTCGCAGGCTAACTAGTCGAACTAGAAACCAAATTACCTTACTTCCCTTAAGGGATTAGGACGACATGACTTAATTTAATCTTTTGACTGACCGATAAAGGGCTTATCAAATGTACAGCTGTTTTTCTTATTCAATCATTGATTGTTGCAGGTGAACTATGAAGCAAATGGTTGGCTGGTTCATCAAGTGTCTGACATATGGGCAAAAACATCACAAGATAAAGGTGATGCTCAGTGGGCTATGTGGCCAATGGGTGGAGCCTGGCTTTGTACACACCTGTGGGAGCATTATTCTTACACCATGGACAAAGTAAGATCTTACTTTCATTAATTTGCCACTTCTTGAAATACCGTGGATCAAAAAATGATGATAATTTTGTGTTTCCAAATATGATTTGTCCTGTAGAAGGTATTATTTACAAAAGAGAAGAAAAGAGCAAGTAGAGGAGTAGCAAAAGCTGAGCCATGAAACTATTCTCTCAACACCAGTAACAATTTTCTGCTAAGTGATGACTACTATTGTCTGTTAGTATAAATAACAAAAATGAGGAAAAGTGAGGGGATAGGAGGGAAGGAAAGGTGAATGTTAAAAACAGTTTCTCAACACCTGTACAGCAGTCCTTGTTGAGGAAGAACCTGCTGCCTACATCCAAATTGCAGGTACAATATAGTTTCCAGAAGTCAAACCTAGGAATTGTGATTACCCAACCCCATAGTCTCGAGCGAGTACTCTATTCATGCGGGTAATTTGCGCTGTTTGAGGTGTAGAAGCTAACAGTCAATATCTGGAAATGCCTGAGTCAAATTTGTCTGTTAAGACCTTTTTTGTAGTTTAAATATAACATTTTTGTATAGGGCGTGAGTGGCATTATTGCTTTTTAGAAATGAGACTCATACTTAACAGACAATCATGCTTGCTTGCAATATCTACTTTACTTTTAGCCAGTACGTGATTGCTAATATATGATGTATGATTAGGATTTTCTAAAAAATAAGGCATACCCTTTGTTGGAAGGATGTGCGGCATTTTTGCTGGACTGGTTGATTGAAGGGCACGGAGGATATCTTGAAACTAATCCATCAACATCACCAGAACATAAATTTATCACTCCAGATGGTCAACAAGCGAGTGTGAGCTACTCAACAACCATGGACATTTCAATCATAAGAGAGGTGTTCTCTATAATTGTTTCTGCAGCAGAGGTTATAACATTTTCTACACTAGTGAAACATAGTTTAGTCCTTAATCTTTTTTGCTCCACCTTTTTTTTCTCAACTAGAAAGTTCATTGAAAACAGGTTCTCGGGAGAAATGAGGATGAACTTGTCAAAAAAGTACATGAGGCCCAATCCAGACTTCCACCAACAAAAATATCTAGAGATGGTTCTCTTATGGAATGGGTAATTATTTTGAGTCTGACTTAAATTTTTCTGGTCTTTGTGAAGACATTATGGAGGAATCGCATTCTCTTATGTACCAGACATGATGAATTAGTAGGGGATGTAAAGGATTATCTTTATCTTTTTACAGGCTCAGGATTTTGAGGATCCAGAGATTCATCATCGACATGTATCTCACCTCTTTGGCCTGTTTCCAGGACATACAATAACTGTTGAAAAAAATCCAGACCTCTGTAAAGCTGCTGCAATTACCCTTTACAGAAGAGGTGTATTTCCAATGACCTTTTAATGTAGCACTTGTATACCACTGGTGCACTTTTTAAACTCTTCGGATAGTAGTTTTCCGAAAAGAAATCTGTTGGTCCTATCTAGAGGAGTTATCTTTTTAGACCTGTGCTCATTTATTTACCTGAGTTTGATCTGTGAAACTCTATGATGTTTGGCCTTCACTTGAGCATGTGTTTTACTGGAGTTATCTCAAGTTTTCTCTATTTATTTATTTATATTTTTTGTATAATGTCAAAACAGGAGTGGAAGGTCCAGGATGGTCATCCATGTGGAAAGCTGCTCTTTGGGCACGCCTACATAATAGTGAGCGTGCATATACTATGGTCAAGCATCTGTTTGACCTGGTAGATCCAGATCATGAGGAGTTATATGAAGGAGGTCTATACAGTAACTTGTTTACTGCACACCCTCCTTTTCAAATTGATGCGAACTTCGGGTAAGAAACATCCTTAATGTGTTTAGATTGAAACGTAATAATCATCAGCTTTAATAAATCCTGTTTCTGAAATAAGAGACTTTGATTTATTGCTATTTTGGTGCTTAATTCTGTTAATATTGCAATTTTGGGTTTCAGTTTTCCAGCAGTAATTGCAGAAATGCTGGTACAGAGTACATTAAATGACATGTTCTTTCTCCCTGCTCTTCCGCGGGACAAATGGGCAAATGGTCATGTCAAGGGGTTAAAGGCGCGAGGTGGATTGACAGTCAACATATCCTGGAAAGAAGGTGATCTTCATGAAGTTGGTCTTTGGTCAAAGGAAAATAATTCTATTAAACGATTACATTATAGAGGTAATGCAGTGAATGCAAATATTGCATCTGGTAGAGTATACACATTCAATAGGCAGCTAAGATGCATAAAGACTTACTCTCTTGCAGAAGTGGCTTCCTTTTGAATGGTAAGTAGGAATTAGTAAGAGCTTTGTTTCAATTTTCCCCAATAATTCCATGGAGGAACTAGGAATAAAATATTAGTTTATCTATCATTCTTTGGTTAGGCATGTGCTTCCCTTTTGCTGGTCCTGATTCTAGGAAAATTAAGTAATTAGCCTTGATTTTGGTTGAAGAGAATCTATTGCGGGAATATTATTCTACTTTGTAAGTAGAGAATCATTCTTCCCAAATCAGTTGAAAGATTTGTGATCATTTGGTTGATTTTCATGCTTCTTGGATGTTTTCTTTCCTTATTGATTGTTTGGATTATTTAAAGAGCAGTTATCGCCTCGTAAACCCTTTTCGCATTCCTGTATGGAGAGTAGAACTTAAAATTTCTTGGTAAAATCTTAGATTATGACTTTTCTAACCAAAAAAAAAAAGTTTAAATTAGGGAAATTACATTTGTCTCTATGTTTTTACATAATTAACTACTTTATTTTTGTATTTTAAAAATTACACTATTTTATCTATATAGTTTGAATTTATTAAATGAAATTATTCTTCTGTCCATCATTTGAGATTTAGATGGTTAAGTGCTAGTGAAATTACAAGACTAATCATATATGCATATGAACTAAAAGAAGAAAAATAACATGTGTTCCTATATTTTGACATAATTAATTATTTTATCCTTATATTTTAAAAGTACTAAATCACAAAAGAAAAAAAGTCTGGACTTTGAAGTTTTTAACAAATTTAGCCAATACTTTTAATTTTGTTAATTACTAAAATTTATTTTTCCTTATTAATTATGGCCTTGTCTAATTTCTATTAGTTTGTTGCTTATGTGGGTGTTAGTTGGCCCCAGAACACCTCATCTCACGTCCACGTGATCATTTTTCAGTATTCATTCTTATTTTTAGAATCTATAAGTTGAAAAATTATATTGTTAAGAAAATCTCGTACCATCTTACCGCATGCGTGAAATAATTTGTTACACTTATATAATCAATGGATTATTGATGGACCTTCGTCGAACAACTAGCACCGTTAATAATCCGAAGGAACATCGAGTGAGTTTCTTCGCTCCCGGATGCGTCACTTGATCATACCCAATTGGACTTTGAACTTGATCATACCCAATCGGACTTTGAACGGAGTCCGTAATTGACAATATAAAATAAGCAGAAGGTATTGATTGAAAATTAAAATAATTAGCTAAATTTGACAAAAACAACTTAAAAGTTTAAGCTTTTTTAGTGATTAAGCATTTTAAAATTAAACTATTTTATTACTGTAGTATAGATTTGTTAACGGCTCAAATCTCAAACAATGGATGGAAGGATAATTTCATTGTAGTATAGATTTGTTAATGGCTCAAATCTCAAACAATGGATAGAAGGATAATTTCGTTGAACGAGAATGAACTACAAAGATAAAATAATGTATTTTTAAAAATGTAAGAACAAAATAATTAATTATGCCAAAAGGTTAGGATAAAATTATATTTTTTTCCTTTAAACTATTTAAAAAATTACACATAAGCCTAATGGCAAATATACGTACAACCTGATAATATATTTAAGTTTAAATTGATAATAGATTTAAGTTTAAATCCCTTCTCTCCTAATATTTAAAAAAAAAAATTAAAATTCATTTAACATATTCAATTGTTAAATAAATAAGCAAATTATGAAATTAATGAGCTCAAAGTTAAAAAAAAAAAGTATAAAAAATTATTATTTGTAAAATAAAATGTGAAAATTTTATTATGCTTCAAATTGAAATGATAAAGTGGTGGCTTTTGAGCCATAGCAAAGTGATATAATGTAATGTACACCAAAATATACTCCATGATCACTAGGTATAAATATATATACGATCTGATAATAATTTCAGATTTAAATAATTTTATTTTCCCCTTACTCAGAAAAAAATGTTATAATGTAATCAACTGCATCACAACTTAATAAATAAAGTTCTTTCGTAAAAAAAAAAAAAAAAAATGCTAAAAAAATAAAAAAAAAAAATTCCAATAAGTGCTAAGTTAATATCATTTTTTAGCAAGGTAAAAACTAGGATTAATCAATAATCGAGGTTTGATTTCAATTCCCTGAAACAAAAAAAAAAATTCGATCAAATTTCATATCAGTCCCCATTCTGATCCTATTCAAGTTCCAAACGCTTGGCTAGAGGATTATTATATTCCGTACTATTACATATATATGTTAGTTATAAATCATTCTTTGCATTGCGCCTACAAGACCCGGGTATACAGCTTAGCAGAGCGAAGGACAAATCATTAATGATTAACCCCCTATTATATATATCATATAATATATATATATATATAATATATATATAAAATATTAATTAGCTGTCATTCTGTTTAATCATTAGCCTCTTTGCACCTAAAATTACACAAACCAGTAGCATAGAATTTCCACTTCCATTCCTACTTATCTCTTCTTTAACTTCCCGCCATTTATGATGGACGACGAAGGGTGGGATATAGTGCAGCGATACTCACCGAAAACCATGAGGGTACCAACCTGGACCCACTCTACCGTTTCTAAGCCGTTGAAGGTCACTTTTGATGGGCCTGCCAAGTTCTGGACGGACGCAATTCCGCTTGGAAATGGCCGGCTCGGTGCCATGGTCTGGGGCGGCGTCTCCTCTGATACTATCCAGCTTAACGGTACAGTGCAGAGAAGATAGATATTCTTTTTTTTTTTTTTTTTTTTTTATTTTTATGATCACTCTTAATTTATTAAAATTTGATTTTGAATTGGTCCTCAGAGGATACACTGTGGACAGGAACGCCAAGTGACTTTACTGATCCGGATGCTCCCAAGGCATTATCAGAGGTCAGAAAGCTTGTTGATGCTGGTAAATTTGCAGAAGCTTCAGCTGCAGCTGTCAAGTTGTTTGGTAAACCTGCAAATGTATGTTCTTTATTTTTATTTGTGGTCTGCTTATTAGTTTTGTTTCCGTTTCCAGCTGCATGATGAGTATAGTGTCTTAAATTACTAAAAATGTTATTGTTAGTTAGTTTATCACAGGTGATTAAAATTTTTTAATTATGTATACAATTGTCTAAGTAAATGTGAAACTGTTAGAAAATGTTTGTACATTTGAAAAAATGAAAAACTAAATCATGATTTTCATTGCATTTTGTTCAGTAATTGCATTCTGATTATTTGAGTTTGATGATCAAGGTTTATCAATTGCTTGGGGATATCAAACTAGAATTTGATGACTCTCATCATACATATGCTGAAAAAACATACTATAGAGAGCTAGACTTGGATACTGCAACAGCAAGAGTGAAGTATTCTGTGGGTGATGTAGAGTTTACTAGGGAACATTTTGCTTCTAATCCTGATCAAGTGATCGTGGTCAAGATATCTGGAAGCAAATCGGGATCTTTATCCTTTGGTTTGTTATTAGATAGCAAGTTACATCACAAGTGTTACATAAATGGTCATCAGATTATAATGGAAGGAAGTTGCCCTGGAAAAAGGATACGACCAAAAGCAAATGCGAGTAACAATCCAAAAGGAATTCACTTTGCTGCTGTTCTTGATTTACAGATTAGTGATAGAGGTGTGATACATGTTTTGGACAATGAGAAGCTGAAGGTAGAAGGTTCAGATTGGGCTTTGTTGCGTTTAGCTGCTTCATCTTCATTTGTAAATCCATTTACTAATCCTTCAGATTCAAAGAAGGATCCTACTTTTGAGTCTCTCCGTGTTTTAAAATCGATAACAAATCTGTCATATTCTGATCTATATGTACGTCATTTAGATGACTATCAGAATCTCTTTCACCGTGTCTCTTTTCAGCTCTGGAATAGCTCTAATAGAATTATAAAAGATGGGTCTGTATTTGTCAATGCTTCTGCAAATTCCTCGTATGTCAAAGTGAATAAAGATGATGTGGTTCCAACTGTTGAAAGGATAAAATCCTTTCAATATGATGAAGATCCATCCTTAGTTGAGCTTCTATTCCAGTTTGGCCGATATCTGCTTATTTCTTGCTCACGCCCTGGAACTCAAGTGGCAAATCTGCAGGGACTGTGGAACGCAGATCTTGAGCCAGCATGGGAGTATGTTTTCAATCTTATTTCCTTTCCTTCTCCTTTTATTTTTGTGTATGTTATTTGATGTGGGAGTGAGCCTTGGAGCAACAATAAGGTAGTTCATTTGTTACTTGAAAGGTCATGCATTTGCATCGGGATGCCTTTATATTTTGTTTGATGCATTTCATTATTTTTACTTGCAAAGTTCTGTCACACCTTCTTGCAGTTGTTTGAGTGTAGTTAATCTATAGAAGGGAAAATGGTTTCATTTGATATATGGATGGACTTTTTGACTCTACATATCTATGGAGCACCCTGCATTTGCAATCTAATCTTTTGATATGAAGCACGAGTATCTGATGTACGATTACTTTAGGTGTTGAATAGAGTTAGTATCATGATCTTGTGAACTTATATGGTTTATTTAATATAACTGCACTATCAATCGAAATATCAAATTGATTGAATTTCCTTTTCATTCATTTTCAATAAATGTTAAATAAAAGAATATGGGATGGAGATCAAAACCTGAGAAACAAAATGAAAAGACAGCTTCAATTTCTTTTTCGTTTTTTTTTTCCCCTTCCAGTTGCTTAAAATATCCTTCTTTCATACATTTTCTACCAAAAAAAAAAAAAAAAAGAAAACAACCAAAAAAAAAAAAAAAAAGACAAGGTTTGATTATTTTAATACGTTCATGAATGGAACTATTGATTTTTGCAAGTAAATAAAGTGTACTGAAAGCAAGTAATTTTTCTTGGATGAAAATTGTGAAATGACATGTCTTCGAAATGATCTCCTGTAATGTCAAATTATTTCCTGATTGTCCTAGACAAGTCATTTTCCTAGAATCATGATTACATACAACCTGGTCTTATGGAAGTTTCAATAAATATTTCCGTTTCTAGGCGTACAACATATTTCTGTAATCCTAACTTTACTGTTATTAATCTTTTAGTCAATAAACCCACCAGACACAGGCTTCCACCAAAAGTGGGTTGAACTTGAAAGATTGAAATTTGACTTCTTAGGCTACATTCGTGTTCCCAGTGTTTTTGGTGTAACATGTATTAGCAGACTTTCTGTGTAAGTACATGCATTTGGTCATATTCTTTTACTTAAGGACATTAATCCAATGGTTTCATAGTATTCGACCTTGTTTATTTGAAAGGTTATACTTGATAATTCTATCTAGAAGGTTGTAATGTATTGATGCACTGCAATGTAAGTTCTGTTCTTGAACATCTGAAAAATTTTCAGTTCACTACTTAAGAGGAAAAAGAATTGCTTCTTCTTCTTTTAGGAATCTAAAATATGTTTTATTGCCTAAAATTACATAGTGCTGATCCACTGTGTTTTACTAATTATCTATCGAAGTTTTTAAGTTATGCGATGACTTACATTTCTTTCTTTACTTTCGTCAAGTTTATAAGAATTGTTATTGAACCCTTTTATCTCTTTCTTTAGTTCCACTCCACACTTGAACATCAATCTTGAAATGAACTATTGGCAATCCTTGCCATGCAACCTTAGTGAATGCCAGGAGCCTTTATTCGATTTTATTAAGTCCCTGTCAGTAAATGGAAGGAAAACTGCACAGGTAGAACTGATCTCTTATTATCATTCATATTGAAAGCATCAATGAATTATTTTAGTCTTTTATCATTCTAATTTGTTTCACTTATTGTTGACAGAGGAAGAATAGGAGAAACAACAAGGTTTTCTATTATTCTGTCACACAAATAATCTACAATAATCTCAATTGTAAAAATAGGAAACTGCAAATATAGAAAGAGACAACTATGCCTAAATAGAGAATAATGAGTCCTCCTAAATGATTGATACAAGATACTGCAAGATACAAATCAACAGTTATCATGCTGTTAGGGGTTTTTGATTGTACAGGTTGTAATCTGCAAAGCAGTTTTGTACTCTGACTAGAATAACGAAGTTCATATTCCTTAATCCTTAGCCAATCTAACATCCCAAGGTCCCTGGAACATTCTTGTCTAAGCTCTTAGTCCCTTGTATTTTTGTTTTCTCCATTATCCAAATTTTTGTTATATACTTGAAGAATGTTGCAGGTGAACTATGAAGTGAATGGATGGGTTGCACATCATAAAACTGACATATGGGCAAAAACATCTGCTGATATAATAGATCCTGTATGGGCAATGTGGACAATGGGTGGGGCATGGCTTTGTACCCATTTATGGGAGCACTACAATTACACAATGGACAAGGTACTTCCCTCCTCCCCCCCCCTCCTTTTCCCACAGTAGTCTACACATTTGTTTATTTGATTATCTGCATGCAAATTTCTTCTCTATGAAAAAGAAAGTTCCATGTTTCCCTGATTGTCACTGCATTAACTTGTTACTTGAGAAAATTGTTCTGATAACAGCATTTTTTATTTTTTTTGAAATATGTCTGTGGTTGAGATCCTTACATTTTCCTAACAACCAAAGCTGCAGACAGCACAGTTCAATCTAATGGAGCATTGCATTGTCATGTAGTGTATGGGCTGGGCCAATAGCTACATTCTCTATGAAGTTCATATATCAAATGGGTTTGGCATTCAGAAAAAAAAGATTCCAGTTGATATGTGTTAGCCGCCGTTGTTGAAAACAAAAGAAAAAAAATATATAAAAAAAATTAGTTTTTGCTTAATCCCACATCGGGGAGATAAGCAACCCACATCGGAGATAAGCAGTGAGGTATGATTGGCTATAAAATGAAGCAATGTTAGGTTTCCATGTAACACCAAAAACACCAAAAACATTTGAAGTATTTTATATTAGGTTAAAGCAGCTTTTGGAGTCCCCTTGAAGCTATAAAAAAAATTGGTGATTTTCGATGGTGTCGAGTAGAAAATAAACTTATTTTGTATTGTGGTGTGTAACAATTTGCCGCATAGTAATATTTTTCTGATTGTCGTTGGCAACGGGCGTGGTTTTTCTCCACTGGGAGTTTTCCCACCGTTCAAAAATCGTGTCTCTTTAATTTCTCAGTTATTATTTTATTCTTCTCATTTATTGGTCCTGCTTGAAGCGATCGAAGCGGAAAAATAAAAATAGCGATTTTCCCAACAAGTGGTATCAGAGCCTAGTTGTAAGGCAGAGCTTTTAGTGTTAAAATAATTTCTTATAATTTAAATTATAAGTATGCACTGTGGTTGCGGCTTAGTCTGATCTTCCACATCAGAAAATACTGTTGTTAAAAATTATTTTATTTTAAAAGCAGGTGGAGTTTTGAAAGTCTTGAAGCGGGTGGAGCTTTGCTTTGGTGTGCTTGAGTACTGATGGTGAAGGTCTTGACGATAATTATTGAAGTTATTCTGGTACGAAAGTTCTGATAATATACCGTGCACGTAACTTCTGTCTAGAAAGCCGGATTTTAAGTGGGACCACTTGTGACCCCTCTGCCCAACTGGGATTTTACGTGGAATGGTAATACTGTCTAGGAGATCATTGTGGTCTATCCTCTGTATTGCCGAATCGGTTTACTTCACTAATTATTGGGTCACTGTTATAAGCACAAGTAAGCATGTCGGCTATGAGATGTGAGATTGAGAAATGACGGAGAATGAATTTACACCTGTGGCAAGTGCAAGTCAAAGACGTGTTGATTCAGTTCTGGACTGCCATTTAAGGCGTTCTTAAGGGTAAAACCAGTCAGCGGAAAGAATTCAGGAAACAGGCCAAGTAGCAATGGAGACTCAGAAAAATCAAGATTAGCCCGCTTGAAATAATGGAGGAGCTTGGATATCAAACTGGATATCAAAGCGGCAAGTCAAATTCGCATGTGTCTAGCAAAAAATGTTCTTGCTAATGTGCTTGGATTGTCCACGACAAAGAAGTTGTGGGAGAAATTGGAAGAATTGTACCAGGGCAAAAATATATCCAATAGGTTATATTTGAAGGAGCAATTTCATACGTTGAAAATGGCGGAAAATACAAAGCTGTCAGATCATCTGAGTGTTCTTAATGGCATCGTCTCTGAATTAGAAACTCTTGGAGTGCAAACCGAAGATGAAGATAAAACTCTCCGACTCATCCTGTCACTTCCTTCGGGCACTTCTTCGAATATGAGCACATGCAAACCGGTGCTGAAATATGGTAGTTAAGGAAGGGTGTTATGCGGATGTGGTTAGTAAGCCCTCCTTTATTGAGAGAGAGACTTGAATCGAAAAATGAAAAAATCATATGAGGATTCAGCCTTTATATTTGTCCGGTACAAGAAGAATAAAAGCTCCGGAAAGAGAAGTGCAAGGTTGTCTGCTGGGTTTGTGGTCAAACTGGACACGTGAGGAAGGATTGCCCGAACGGTGGAGCTGATTCGGCTAGAAGCTCTAACGTTGTTGCTATCAATGTGATCTCCTGTAGTGAAGGAGATGATGTGTTCTCTCTGTAATTGAGAGATGTGTGTCCTCATGGCATGATTGCTACCCGTTGAGATGCCATGGAAGAGAATGGATTATTGGTGGCTGGTTCACGGAAATGCGCACGGCATTGGTTGACAGTTGATGCAAAGTGTGTGGTGAAAAAAAAATATGTCGATGGCTAATGAACAACTCTCGAAAAAGTCCAACATGAGGGTTGCCCATAAATTATTATTAGCGGTATCCGACATGGCCGATGGAAAATTCTTGGATCGGTAAAGTCTTCCAAGGGCCAATATCTTTTAATGGTGGAGTATCGATAATTCTTGACGATAAGGGAATTAATGATTGCCGGTAGCAGACAATGTTGTGTTTTTTATTTATTTTCAAGTGAGATTCTTAAGCCGCCTGTGTTGAAAACAAAAGAAAAAAACTATATAAAAAACATTAAGTTTTGCTTATCCCACATCGGGTGAGATAAGCAAAATGTGAAAGGTAGGATTTGGCTAAAAATGGAGCAATTTCTTAGGTTTCCATACACACCAAAACACACAAAAACATTTGAATGTATTTTATTTAGATTTAAGCAAGTCTTTTTGGTAGTCCCTTGATATAACAATATTTGGCGTTTTTGAGGGTGTCGAGTAGAAAATAATTTTTAATTGTGGTTGTAACAATTTGCCGCATAGTGAATATTTTTCTTGATTGTCGTTTTGCGAACGCCGTGCGTTTTTTCTCCACTTGGAGTTTTCCACGTTAAAAAATTCGTGTTCTCTTTTGTTCTCTTTAATTTCTCAGTCATTATTTTATTTTCTCATTTGTTCCTGCTTGAAGCCGATCCGAAGGGCGGGAAAAATAGCGATTTTCCCAACAATATGATGTATGATGATGTAAATGCTGACTAATTACATTTTTGTGTTTTCTGATTGCTTCTTTACAATGTTAGCTGGCAAACTCCTATCCTACTTGGGATGGGGTTGCAACACATATGAAGTTGACAACATGCTAACGGGAATTAGCAAATGTGATAGACTTGGCTGCATTTTCCAGCCCCAACTTGAGCAACTACTTTTAGCTAACTGAGAAATTGAAAATGCTAAATAGAAAAAGCAGCCAAGTTCAGCAAGTTACTTATGGTATGTTTACGCCCAAAAAATCTCTCTTACTACTCAGAAAGATGAGGAGAACCATGGAATTCTGGACTTAGCCAGCTGGTTTTCTATCTCTGCATAGAAGTGGAAATCCTCCTGCTAAATTTTCAAGACTAATTCATCTTCCTCTTTGAGTATGTTGTGCTTTCGTGGTATACGGGATGGAGCCTATAAATTGCTGCAGCCTAATAAAATATCAATTATGATCTTATTTCTAATTGAGAAACCTGAGATTTGAGCGTATAATTACATGTGTGTTACTGTTACTGGATTCTTTACTAGAATTGTAAATTATATTATATACCTTCTATGTCCTATGTTTCTAAAATGTTGTACATAATTAGGATTTTCTCAAAATTAAGGCATACCCTCTTTTAGAAGGATGTGCGACATTTTTGTTGGACTGGTTGGTTGAGGGGCATGAAGGATATTTGGAAACCAATCCATCAACTTCTCCAGAACATATGTTTATTGCTCCAGATGGTAAGCCTGCTTGTGTCAGCTATTCATCAACCATGGACATCGCAATCATAAAGGAAATTTTCTCATCAATTGTCTCAGCTTCTGAGGTAAAGCTCTCATTCTAGACTAGCCATAATGATAAGCTTTTATATTGCATAGATTCGCTTGTACTCTACCTTAACATCATAACTTTACTTGATAATAGATTTTGGGAAGAAACAATGATGTTCTTGTTCAAAAAGTTCGCATGGCTCAATCAAAGCTTCGTCCGACAAAAATTGCTGAAGATGGTTGTATAATGGAATGGGTAAGTGAGTAGCTTATATATTTAGGTTCATAATTCATTGTGGGACATGGTTTATGGTTAAATACATAAAATGGCTTTTCATATAGTTTAATTGCTCAACTGGGCTTGTGATATTCTCTCTGTGGTGGGGCAGGCACAGGATTTTAAGGACCCTGATGTGCATCATCGGCACGTTTCACATTTATTTGGCCTATTTCCAGGCCATACAATAACTGTCGAGAGAAATCCCGACCTTTGTAAAGCTGCAGAGTATACCCTCCTTAAACGAGGTTTGTCTATGTTAAATAACTAGTTTGGTGCGGCAATACCCCATCCAGTTGGGAGTATTTGATCATCAATTAAAGTCAAGTTGTTCTGCTCTGTTGAATATCTGTTTCTCCCTTTCTTTGAGTTTGTGTATGCACAAATATGTTTTGTTATGGCTATGAACTAGAGAATGATATCTTATAGTGAGAAAACAAGATTCTTGTGTAAAAGCACAAATAAGAACACACCAGAAGTCATTGCTAGTGATCATTTTAAATTTGAAATATGTTATGCTCTTTCAAGTTTAGCATACAACTAATTGCATATCCAGCATGAGCAAATACCCAACTCAGAATCCCCCTTCCCCGTCAGAAAAAAAAAAAAAAAAAAAAAAAAAAAAAAAAAAAAAAATTGTCATGCTTAAAGCAGAAATATTGATGCTAGTGCAATCGAGGCCTCATATTTTGTCACAGGGATTGCAGTATAAATGGTAATATATTTTATGTGCTTTTGTTGCTACAGAGTAACAATAAGTACAACAAATGAGACCATAGAGTGTATTTGTCCTGTATAAACAACATTTCTGAGTATAATGTCGCAATGACGTTGTTTCTCATGTTTTTATCGATGAAACAGGAGAGAATGGTCCAGGATGGTCAACTGCCTGGAAAATTGCTTTATGGGCGCATCTATACAACAGTGAACATGCATATAGGATGGTTAAGCACATTTTCAAGTTGGTAGATCCAGATCCGGATCACAAGATAAGTTTTGAAGGTGGACTATACAGCAACTTATTCGGAGCACACCCTCCTTTTCAGATTGATGGTAACCTTGGGTAAGCTACATTGTTCGAATTATCATTTAAATTGTGTTGGAACTGTGAGTTGAACTTTTGAGCCTGTATTGGTAATGGGTATCATAGTGATTACACAAATGCCTTACTTTTGGTTGCACATGTAGATTTAATTAAGCATTCTTGAGATTTTTTGCCTCTAAATAAATGTTATTTCTCGTAAATTTGAAACTGACTCAAAAAAAAATTCAAGTTTTTTAGCATTTTTAGCCAATGCAGACAAGATAATAATATCTGTAACTTTTGGTTTCAGTTTTACAGCAGCAGTTGCAGAAATGCTCGTACAGAGTACCTCAAAGGATTTGTACTTGCTTCCTGCTCTTCCGTGCAATAAATGGGCAAATGGATGTGTAGAAGGATTAAAGGCGCGAGGGGGATTAACCGTCAGCATATGCTGGAGAGAAGGAGATCTCCATGAAGTTGGTCTTTGGGCCAAGGATGAAAATTCTGTCAAACAATTGCATTATAGAGGAACTACAATAACAACTACCATATCACCTGGAATCATTTATATATTTAATGCACAGTTAAAATGTGTAAAGACTTGCTCTTTTTCATAAGTGGCCACTTTGTATATATATCTACCATCTTATGAGTTCTCTTGAACAAAAAATGTTTGTATGTTATATAAATATATCTTATGATTCAAACTTTATAACCATGAATAGAGAAATAAAATTATCGAGTGGAATTAGAAATGGAATTACTATTTTTCTCAAGTCTTTTGATTGGATCAAAAACTGAAATCAAATCTATAGGCTATTTATTTTCCTTCATACAATAATTAAAATCAATATAAAATTTTCATTTTAATATTAAATATAAAAAAAAAAACACAAATCATAGATCATGTACAGAACAGAAAGTATATATAATTTTGGTTTATGGTTTGATATTTTTATAATTTCCGAAAACTTCAAGAAACGAATATTGATGAAAAAAAATATGCATTTGGAGCTCAGAGATGGACTCGACGCTATAAGGCAAAGAGATAGGCTTTGAACCGCAACATCCCACATCGAAACATGAAGAGGAGATGAGAACGATGAATGCACTATAAAAAGGAATTGGAGAGGCCCATGAAAGCATACCTTTCTCGGCCTTTTGGCTAAGATTAAGTGTAGTATCTGTTCTTATCAGTTTAATATCTGATACGTGGGCCATTGGTCTATATGGTATTAAATTAATTTTTTAAGGGGATGGTCCATCGCAGTAGCTTGCTACTGGGGTTCTTTAGCGTCGCCCATGCGTTGCACTACTGCATGGGCCGGGCGTACCCCATCAAAGCTAGTCTCAAATTCTTCTTCATAAGTCCCCTTGGTTGTAGAAGAAATGAATTAAATTTGTCTTATTCAACTAAGTTACTTATATATATAATTATTATTTTGGACAGTTGGTCGATTTATATAAATGAAAAAGGAAAATTGATGCAATATAATTCTCCTTTCTGTTAATTTTCATACTTTTTTACTAAAACAATTGTCCTCATATATTGAGAATAAAATAAAATAAATTTTGATACAATATAATCGGGATTTATACTAAAAAAAATTAATTTCCATTTATTCCAAAAATTATTTCATTTATCTGACTTCATTTTTAGTATTAAGAAAATAAAATTTAGATCACCAAAAAGTTAAAAAAAAAAAAAAAAAACCAAAAAAAGTTAAAAAAAAAAAAAAAAAAAAGACAACAAAACTTAAGTTTCCTACCAAAAAAAAGAAAGCAAAAGTACAGAGACATTAGTTTTTTAAAATTTTGACTGTTCAAAAATTTTCAAAAAAAAAAAAAAAAAAAAAAAAAAAAAAAAGATTGTCACGTTATAATGTCTAAAAATAACACAAAACAAACCATATAAATATATTCTACCGCTATTAAAGGATCATCACTAATTAATATATTGGAATCCCATATAAAAAAGGTGAACGATCCTTTCTTTTCTACCAAAAGAAAGAATCACTATAACTTTTTCCTTTTTTCCAAAAGAAAGAACCAGTAGAAAATGGCAAACAAGGTAGCTGCGGTATTGGTTATGTGCCTTGTTGTTGTTACCCTGTTCGAGCTTCCAATGCAGGCTGAAGGTGACAAATTTGGTTCTTGCTTCAACAACTGTGAAAAGGAATGTATAGCTGGTGGAATGAGCCAGAGCGATTGCGAGATGAAGTGTGACACCGATTGCTTCAATAAAGATGTCGCTGGTATGCTTTTTTTCCTTACATCTTCTTATGAGAAATCATAAATAATGTTCAATTTATTCTTTAAATGAGTTCTTTAAAAAATAAGCTTTTCCATCTATTTTAACAAAAATTTTCAGCCCATCTTTTTATTGAAATAGATGCATTAATCAGATCACATATAGAAAAAAATCATATGACTAGCTTTTATTATTATTATTATTATTATTATTATTATTGTTTTAACATATGCTGACAAGAGAAAAAGATGGGTTTTTTTTTTTTTTTTTTAAATTACTATTTTTTTTTTTTTTTTGTTGGAAATTACTATTAAAATCAATGTAAAACATCAATTTTGATAAATTATACGGACAAGTTTCCCTTAACTTCTGTAGAATATTGTTGGGTTTTTTTTTTTTTTTTTGGAAATTACTATTAAAATCAATGTAAAACATCAATTTTGATAAATTATACGGACAAGTTTCCCTTAACTTCTGTAGAATATTGTATTAATGCATGTATTTTATGCAGCAAGGGTAGAAGCGGCAGAGTTGGCACCAGGGGCAGTGCCAAAGCAGCATTCGTAGTGGGGTCAATTGACCAAGTCAACTTTTAAAAATATATTTATAAAGTATACTCGGTTGGATAGATATCATGGAATCAAAATGAGGATGATATAATAATTATGGAAGAATTTATTTATTTCTCTTGTTATATGTAACTAGTTATGTGCCGGCACATTGTATACTCTTATTTTTAAATATTCAAATAATATTGTTTGAATGATATAATAAATAGAATTTCACATCTTTTTATAAAAAATTAAAATCAGGATCTGCCCAAATGAAATTAAACAACAAGAAAAAAAAAATGAAATTCCAATCAAATGTTTGTATAAGAAATTGGCCAGCTTGCTCCTATTTCTTTCCTTCTCTAATTTTTCAAGGCATATAGCAAACCTAAACAACACAACATCAAACAATCACGGAGCCAGGAATTAAAGTTAGAGAGAGCTAAAAAAAATTTCAAAAACAAAGAAGCGTGAAATTGAACAAAAAAAATATACTATTTTAGTAGATAAAATAAAAATTTAATATTTGATGGGTGATTTTAAAAAAAAATTTATTAGGGGCGGGCCAATCCCTAGCTCCGGCAATGACATGAACTCAAACCAAATCTCTATAATCCGAAACAAACAATATTTATCACCAAATGACCAAAAATATATGTTAATGTTAAATTTAAGATGACAGATTGGTAAAGTTTACCATAAACTTTTTTGTTCTTTTTCATTCGGATCACTTTACGCTTGGACGAAAGACTAATATTTTTGTATAGAGAAGCAATTTCATATATTTATTTATTTGATTTAATCAAGCTTTTTTTTTTTTTATTAGGTATTCTTTTCTTTTTCGAGTTTGATTTGAATTTTCCTTCCATGGTTATTTGAGTTTTGAAATTTTTATTAGTGAGACTTCATGCTTAGGCATTTTTTCCATTAAAAAAAAAAACAAGCCAAGGACTAATAAAAAAATCATATATAATATGGATAGTTTTACAAATTGACTCTTAGATCTGCAATGAGGTTTGTATTGGAGATTTTCATAATTTAGTTTCTGCTTGTAAAAATGCTATTCCGCTTTCCATCCACCATTTTGGGGGTGATTGTTAAAAAAGTTTATCATGAAGTAAATTCGGTTTCTGATGCTTTATCTAATCAAGCTCTACAAAGGAATAGAGGTCTTCTGATTCTGCATCCGTCACATAGTTTATGCTAATACAGTAGGATTTTCTTTTTTAAGCCAAAGCAGGAAATTAATCAAACTAAAAAAATCTCTTCCCTAAAGATCTATTTAGCAAAATTAGTTATTAACTATTTGAGTAGTTTTTTATAGAACGTAAAAAACTAAATATTGCATGATTTAACTTTTTATAAAACGTTACTTTAACATCTAAAAACTAGTTCAAACGTTATATTACCGAACACTATAAAAAATAACATTCCAATCAAAATGCTAAAAGTTACTTAAAAAACTATTGTCGAACGTAGCCTCAGGTCTGTTTGACAAACTGTTTTCATAATTATTAGCTATTTTAGTGGTGTTTAGTTGTTAACTATTCGAGTAACTTTTCATAAAATGCTAAAAGTTAAACGTTATATAGATTAATTATTTTATAAAATGTTGCCTTAATCTCTAAAAATTAATTCAAACACTATATTATTAAATATTATATAAAATAATGATTTGATAGATCAAAACGCTATAAATTAATTAAAAAGCTTTTGCGTAACACGTCAGAACGGTGAGATTAAAACCCAATGTTTATTGGATAGCAACTACAAGTACCAAACCTTTTCATCTTTTGGGCCTAAGCCTAAACCTGCATTTGTAGGCAGAAAAAATCATCCCCTGAGCATGACGGTCAGCCAATTAAAATCCTACTAATCACACGGATCTCAGCATCCCAATTTTAAACTGCCCTACACCCAATCAACATCCTCAACACCTGTTCCTTAAACCCTAAACCCCTTTTTTCTGTCTTTTTCTTTTTTCACTTCACTTCACTCCCTTCAAAATATCCAAAAATCTTAACTTTTCACACTTAAAATGGCTTGGCGCAGTTCAGGATCGCTTTCGCGTACGCTCATGTCCGCCGCCAGGGCTCCGTCCCGTATCTCTTCGTCGCCGCTTCCCCGCATCCGTCCACCGGCCACTGCCTCTCCTCGGCTTCAGTCCCGCCGCGTCTCCTTTGGTCCTTCCAGGTACTGTTTTATAATAAAACCCAATTGTTTTTACTTAAATATTTCGATTTTGAAAGAGATTTGTTAGCTCTGGTGTTTCTAGATCTAGATGCATTGTTGATTATTTTCCAATTTATGTTCCTATTTGTTTTAGTATGTTTTATAATGCATGGTTATTCAAAGGGTATTCATTATAAAATTTCACACTTTACTTGATATTTTGAAAGAAAGAAAGTCTTTTGTTTGCCTAATATAATCCAACTGAAGTAAATGGGTGTTCAATTTAAATTTTAATTCTTTTGGTTTTGGCTACTATTTTTGTTATAAAGTCAACTGAATTCAGCTTAGTTGGGTTAATTTCTAGCTATCTATGAGTTTAGTATTTTTTGCTGCTTATTGTTTAAGCACTTTTTGTAGGAACTTGGGAGAATTGGGATGTTTGCAATCATTCTTGCCTCTGCATAGCATGGCCGGCACAAATCTCCTCACATCACGTCTCAATGCTAACTTGCGGGCTTTTTGCGAGCTGTCTCACGGTACCTTCTACCGTACTTGTCAAGATCGCTAGTAGTCTCTTTGTGAGTCTTACTGTTTCTAGGGCAACATAAAAAACTAAAAAATTGGAAGCAGAATGCTTTCGGATTGTTGTTATTCATACATTGTTAATTTGAATAACTTCAATTGCATATTGTAAATTTGTTTGTTGGTCTTTTCAGTAAGTTTAACAAAAAAATTCGGTTGACTGATTTAATAATAAAGAAAGTTGCTAGGTTTTGTTAGATTTCATAAGATTTTCTTAATGAGAAGGCTTGGGATTGGGATTGATAGGGAGGAATGGAAAAGACGGGTGATGCAGATGGACTTTCAGTCAGCTAAAGGTGCAAGATTGTTGCCAACATTGTAGGTTTCTTTTTTTCTATGTTTCTTGTTCTTTTGAAAAAAAAAAAAAAGGGAAATAACTAGATGAATTAGAACTGGATAGATAAACACCTAAGCTTTCAATAAAAATGTTTTGTACGTTTAACATCTCTGCTCAGTGATCTACCTCTCCTGTAATTCATTCGTTTTTATGCAAGAGCTTAATAAAATTAGGTCTCTGTGAAAAACACCGAAAAAAAAAGGAACAAGAAAACACTGGCTCTTTAGGTTTGTTATCTATTTATCAATGATTTTTTATTCAGGTTATTTCTTTTATTTTCTATGCATGTCAGTGGTACCATATAGACTTGGTTTGAACCACCAGTTCCAACCCCCCCTCCCATAAAACAATAATAATAATAATAATTTTGGGGAAAAAATTTATTTTCCTCCTGCTAATTTATGTTTGGAAATGTTCAATGACTTTTTTCATGAAGGAGAAGGATTTTCCTTCCATATTCCCCTTCTTCCTTTCATATCTATATAGCTGTCATTATTTGTCAATCTCATCAGAAATACACATTTGTGCTTATAGAATGAGGACATTCTCCCCGTCTCCCCTCTTTTTCCTCTTCTGCAATGCAAGTGTGTGTTGCAAATTTCTAACTCACTTCAGCTAGAAATATGCCTGAAACATGAAGTTCCTCTTCATTCTGAATACAGAGCAACGCTGTGATTTTGTCCTTGTTCATGTTCGTCTATAATGAAGCTACTTTCTTGTGTCAGTGATTTGCTTCTTGCTCATCATGTGTATTTCTTGCTATCTATTTCAGTATCTCCCTTGAGCTCAACTTTCCATTTTTAAAATTTGAAGACTTTCAATATGTCCTTCATCACTAAGGGATTATTAGTGAATTTAGACAGCAGTATTCATGATCCACATGTTTTCTTCTTGGATTGTCATGTATGTGTGTTGGTTCCTTTTTGGCATCTTTTCTAGCATCATTTCTCATTTGAAAAGAGATTCGACTTTGCATGTAATGAGGAGAATGAGTAACATTTTCTAAAGTCATTAAAGGAATTTATAACAGTCTATGTCTTGGGTTATCATGTATATGTCTTGGTTCATGGAATCTCTTTCAATATTATTTATCATTTGAAAAGAGATTCGAATTAGCATGTTATAGAGGGAGAATGGATAACATTCTTTCAATGTTAGTAAAGGAATTTATAACAGCCTACAGATGCTTTGTTAGTATGAATTCTGCTATGTCTCACTAGAAGTATATTAAAAGCATTAGGTTGGTGTTCAGTAATGCTGGAAATTAAGTGCTGAAAATTTAAAACCTGAGTCTTAAGTGCTGAATAACTTAAGTGACGAAAGTTTTTAACTTTCAGAATTATTTTCAATTGTATTGACTCTGTATCCAGTGCAAATCTTAAGTTAGTTTTTTTTTTTTTTTTTTTTTTTTTTTTTTTTGTAATTGACTCTGTATCCAGTGCAAATCTTAAAAGTTAGTTTTTTTTTTTTTTTTTTTTTTTTTTTTTGTTCAGCATTTTGAGTGAGTTTCAGTTTTAATTCAGCACTTAATCGTAGAGATTTTATTAATAGAATGCCCTTGAAGCTTCTTTTTTTTTTTTTTTTTTTTTTTTTTTTGTTCACCATTTTGAGTGAGTTTCAGTTTAATTTCAGCACTTAATCGTAGAGTATTTTATTAATAGAATGCTGAAGCTTTACTGTAACCGGTACAAAATTCTTTGTGATTAGTATTTGACTCGGAAAACTCTCCTCATTTGAGCAGCTTTCGTACATATCATAACATAGAGGGCAACATGAGAATTTTGTTCTATTGTTGAATTTTCTTAAAATTCTCTCTTGTGGATAATCTTTGGGCACTCACAAGATATATTGTGCTGCAATTTGTTTCAGATTAGACTACTTTGTATTCTTAAGATTCTTTTTTGTACTGGAAAGCATCGAGTTTCGAAGAAAAATAGATCATTCTGTTTGCATATATTATCACCAGGAGCATCCTTCCAAGTGTTGTCCTGATTATGTGCCCTTTCCATATTTCTACCATGTAAGACTAACAGAATCAAATTCCAAGTTTCTAGTTGTTGAATGAGCTATGTTCTCCATGATTCAGAATTGTGTTTTTTTAAGCTCAAGATATGTTGATTTTTTCGTCATCTCACTCTGCTGAGGGATAAATTTCATCTTCTGTTACTGTTTTTCTTTTCCCATCACTTTTAAGGGTACCCCATAATGTTATGTGGCTTGTGCAATTTTTAATTCATCGTTTCTTCAACAAAATATAAATTCTGGGGAGGATTAAGACTTAAAGAGATTCATACATCTGATAGTGCTACATTTAGAGTGTCAGTGTCATGACTCATGAGAATTTTTATGATTATAAAGCCACTCGGCCTTTCTTACATAGAACTTTCTAAATTTTGAGCCATTTGCTTCATTATTGCAGGTACTTAAAGAGCCATTGGATCTGTGCAGCAGCATGCAACAGTAGATTGAGGAAGTCAGAGTGGATATATCCTGTGGGATAGACTTTTTAGGCAGGAATATTTTAATAAAGAATTCATGTATTAAAGAGTTTAATATTGAAATTGTATTACTTTTTGTGGGCACTTATATGTTACTTGCAATTGTGTCCTGTTCTATTTCCTTTATTTCTGACTAGTATCTGTAAGATTATGTTGATGTTAACCTATCAGTTACTGGGATTCTGCATCTTTGTTTGTGGTAGGCAAGCTTTTTCTGGTTCTTTTTTTATCCTGCATGCATGATCATGATCCAAGATAATGTGGTTGCCAGCCGCAGGAATCTTGGGATAGAAAGCATGTTGTACTATACTATATGTATTTTTTTAGACCGTCTATGTGACAAATTGGGACATGGCCAAAAAGAGGAAAGAGAAAATGCGAGCTGTACTGTAACTCATCATTTCAACATATTTTGTTGTGATTTGATAATTTAGTTGATGGTTTTGGCACAACTTGCATCAGATATATTTGAAATGTCTACAATATCCTTAGTAAATGTAGGTGATTTGTTTAATGGAAAATATTTTCGGATCATTGGATGAACTTGGAACATTGAATGGTTTAGATTTTCAATGTGCATGCATGGAAAACTTTTGTATCATTAAACTCTTCCATTTAATTAATGTTTTTCAAGGTTTTACAATATTTTAACAGATCAATATTTGTCAATTGAAAATTAAAACTTGTTTAACCAACAACATGTATAAGAATTGATTGATGGAGAAAACAATAATTCAGCTGTAACTTTAGGTATCTTTAAAATTTTCTTTTACAGGTATCAATTAATCATAAAATTAGTTCCAATCTTCAAATAAAATTTTGTTTTTTGATATTTTTTTATAAAACGGACAACATAGATTTATATATATATATAAAATAATATAGAGACGGACAAGTCAAGTTGTATTAAAAAAATAGGCTTATGAAAAAAAAGTCAAAGATAAATCACAGTATAAGTTCAATTTTCTTCTTAATTTTCTTCTTAAAATTCAAATTCATCCCATTCGTAATGCCCATTTAAGTCGGATAAAAGGAGCATCTTATCTTCAGAGCATTTTCAAGAAATAATATTACTCCATCCCTTCCATTTTTTTTTTTTTTTATCATTCCATTTTTGCATATTCCAAAATATTTGCAAGGTTTTTAAATTTATATATGTAAACAATTATTTTTCACATCATAATCTTTACGATCCTGAATGACTTTTATTAATACCTTAATGAATTAAGGATAAAAAAATGATACAACAATTTTTATTGACTAAATTTTTGATATGCGTATTTTGTCAACTCATGTAAACAAAAGGGGACGAAGGGAGTACTAAATAAACCGTTCTACCTAGATGTGTAAATTGGCTAAAAACAGAAAATAGAGTTCCTTCCAAATTGATCCAAATCAAAATAAATTTGAAAATCGAAACAAACTGATCGGTTCAGTTCGGTTCGGTAGGCATTACTTCAGTTAAACAGTTCAGTTTTACTCAAAAAATAAATGTTTTGGAATAATTGATCCAAGGACCAAAATTGGAATTATGAGAGATTTCAAACTGAAATCAAAAACCGAAAATAATTTGGTTCGGTTTGGTTTTTGTTTTTTTTCCAAAGTTTGTTCACCCCTGCTACCATGTAATTTGTCAAGGACAATGAACGTAGAGGCATGCGGATGTACAAACCATTGGTTGTCGAACAATCGACTCAATGTTTTTTGTCCTCCAAAACAAATAGCTTTTCCTATAAATTCTTTTCTCCAATTTCAATAGGATTGCATTAATAATTTCTTGATAATTTACTTAATCTGGTAATATTTGTTAGAGGGAGCTTGTACAGGAAATTCCAGATGTAATGCAATGAAATGAGGCATAATCGGCCCTGACATTTCGAAGAGGAAATATTGGTGGACACATGGGATGTCTATATCCTGAAAATCATTGGCTAAGCACGAGGGCTGCTGTTAGTTCTTGCACCATGTCCCACTTCTGGACAGGACTCCACTCTTTGTTGGAGCAACTATGTTTCAACCTGGAGAAGAGAAAGTCTATGGTTTTCTCCAATCACAAGTGCTGTCCTATGTGCCTTCCAATCACTGTCTTCCCTGTTTTTCTTCTTTTAAGTCTTATGATGTCTTCATTATTTCCCTCGCTCTTGTACTGTGCTGGGTTCTAAGATGTAGACTTAAATGGGTGAACAGAAGAAATTGATCCATACAGTCAGGTAAAGCTGAGTTAAGAAAGAGTGCTCCCTAACTTAAATTCCAATTCTTACCGTTACATCTCACCCTTCAATGATAAATATTGAATTCAGTTTAAATTTAATGTTCGAAATAACTAAAATTCAACTCGAGTTTACTTAGTTACTTGTTTTTTTTTCAAATGTAATTTATTAATAATAATATCAAGAATTATGATTACTCGTATAAAATAAATATAAAATTTTAATATTAATAGCTAATAGAATTCGCTAATCTTTTAATGATACAATATCAAAAGATATAATATTAGATATTTTCGTTTGGAGTTAATCTTGATAAAAGATATAAATCTAATAGTAGAAATTAGTTTTTTATTTGATTTGGATGACAAAATAATAAATTTCTCTAAATCTTCTATACCTTGATTGTTTTTCAAGAACATGCATCAGACCTGCAAATCACTAAAATGAAGTTACTCGTTATAGCCAAGTTAGAAAGTTGAGTATTGAAGCCATCCATTATTCTTGATGAGACCATTGGCACTACGTAAAAGGTAGGTCTGACACCGAAATGTACAGTAGTAGTAAGTTTCTTTATCCAAGTCCCACGGTAGAGGGAGATTGGACCCATTTAGTGCATCAAACATTGGCCAAATCGTAGTGGCTGACGCTGACCTGATATTTCCTAAAGTGACACCATATTTTGGGTCCTCATGCAACTTGTATATCGTCCACATTCTGAATGACTATTTGCAGAACTCATCCCAGAAACATATATATGTCACCCATTAGCAAGTGGTCCATTTTTGAAGCCTCTCTCTCTCTCTATATATATATGATTATGACTCTTCAAGATCCTAAATTGTGTTTTTTTGCTTTATGAAAATTGATCCTGTAGATAGACAAAAATATGAAAATTAAAAATTATATTGTTAAGTAGCTGCTTTAACATTAAAAATATTTATTTAATTTACTTTGAAAATTTTTTCTTTAAAGGTCATGTATAAAAGTAGAGTTTTCTGTCTTTCTTTTTTATTAAAAGATATATGGCAAATAAAGACAAGACATTTTTTTTATCAAAATTAGAAGATAAAGACCGTAATAATTTTTGTAAAGTATATTTTATACCGGTACTTCCTTATTATTATCCTTCTCTTTCTACTTTCCTCCAAATTTTCTTATATTAGAAGATAAAGACCGTCATAATTTTTTGTAAAAGTATATTTTATACCGGTACTTCCTATTATTATTCTTCTCTTTCTACTTTCCTCCAAATTTTCTTATATATTATATTATATATATATATATATATATATATATATATATATATTCTTGAATAGCGTTTGAGAAAATTCTCTAGTGCTAAAAAATGAGGAGGGAAGGAGAGAGTTCCTGAGAAGGATCCCATATGGGTTGGGTTCAATTTGGATGAGCGGATGGAAGCTAGTGTTTAATGTTTAATGTTTTAAGAAGATCTCCAATTGTTAGATTAATAATTAGTCAACACAGTATTGAAAATAACACGTGTTTTCTTTCAAAAAAAAAAAAAAGAAAAGAAAATGACACGTGTTTATTTTATTCTCCACACTGAAGAACCAAACCAAAACCTATATTAATATGGTTGAATTTCAGTCCATTCCCACAATAACCTGTGCAAATCCAGGAGGTTTTTCCAAAAGGTTTCCAAGCTCAAATTTTTAAAAATGATTTAAGATTTCAATTAATTCTTTGAGAATTATAAAATTTTCAATTAGGCAAATAAAATAAGGAGAAGAAAAAATTAAACTAAGACTTTTAATTAAAAAAACTTCATAATTATTGTAATAATTTGAGTTCATTATTTCTTTTTTTTTGCGAGATTCCAGAACTAGAACCAAGGTTCCAACTTAACCTTGAATTAAAAACTTTTTGAATTAATTAGTTTTTGTTTCTATTTAATAAAAATCCATCCCATTTAATTTTTACCAGTTGAATATGAACTTGGCATAAATTTAAATTTTGAGTTTATTATTCTTTTTGGCGAGATTTTAGAACTGGAATTAGAACCAGAGTTCCTATTGAGGATAACTCTTTTGTACCAAGTCAAACTAGTTAGTTTCTGATATTTGATTTTGTTTAACTGTAAACAGTTTAGATATGATTTGGAGATTTTCTGTATTTCAAATGTAATCTGTAAACTCTATAAATATGTATCTTGCTTCCTTGAATAATATAACAAACATTTACACAAACAATCTGATCCTTTCATGGTATCAGAGACCAAAATACTCAAACGAGTTTTTTTCTTTAGATCCTACAATGGCTACAACTCCTCAAGTTGCTTCTACAACGATTCCCGTTAATTCCCAAAATACTCTGATTACCATCAATGCTGCCACTCAGCTTTTGCTTAAATTAACCACCCTTAACTATCCCTCATGGCGTGCTCAAGTTTACGCCCTTTTAATTGGTCTTGACCTCACTGGCTACATTGATGGCACGTTGCCATGTCCACCCTCCACCCTCACCAATGGCGAAACCGTTTCCGTCAATCCTGCTTATGCTCTTCCTCACCAATGGCGAAACCGTTTCCGTCAATCCTGCTTATGCTCTTTGGTTTCGTCAAGATAATCTTCTTCTTCATGCTATTTTAGCTTCTGTTTCTGAATCACTGGTTACTCTTATTTCTTCGTCAAAAACATCAGCTGAGGCTTGGAATAAGCTAGCCTTACGCTTTGCGAATAAGTCCCGTTCTCGAGTCATGCATCTCAAAGAAAGACTCTCACAGCCTCATGGCACCAAATCTGTTTTTGATTACCTTCAATCTCTTAAATCCACTGCTGATGAGCTTGCTCTTATTGATAAGCCTTTATCTGATGATGATCTCACCATTCTCATTCTAAATGGTGTTGGATTCGAATTTCGAGAACTAACCACTGCCATTCGAGCACGGGAAACACCCATTGTTTTTGAAGAACTACATGAAAAACTCCTGGACTTTGAAAATGTTCTTAAAAAAGATAATTCCCCTGAAATTTCCATTCAAGCCAATGCTACAAGACGCAACTACCAGCCTCGAAATTCTTTTCAAAATAATGGCAACAATTTCAATCAATCTAGAGGACAATCCTCTCATTCTTCTCAACCACACAACAATGGAGAATTTCAAATTCAATGTCAG